CTACCTGACCCTAAAATTAACCTAAACTCAATTCACACCTTGGTCCTAAACCCAACCCTCAACCTTCCAATTGCGTTTAAAAACCAAATGGGGACACGACTTTGTCCCCAAATGTAGGATTTTTGTCTTAAAATTGCCCCCAAATGTCACCAAAGCCGCACACACACACACACACACACACACACACACACACACACACACACACAGTTAATCCGGCTCCTCTGGTCCCAAGTCAGCTGCCCTAACACTTCCCCACAGCCACCCAAAGGTGGTAGTAGCTGAGAGTCATCCAACATGTACTCGGAGTTAAAGGATGAAACGGAGCGTTACATTTTCTAGGTTCAACCAAAACGGCTTTAACTCCATTTATCATGAGATAAACCTGGTTAAAACTTGGACCTGAAAGGTGGYGAGTGATCACATTCATTAAAGCAGGGGTGTTGAGCCTTTTTGTTTTGTTTTATTTTACTTTACAGAAACTCTACCTGGTATTTCCTGCATAGAAACAGCGTTTTAACTCGTCCTCTTCTAAACATCGAAAACTACTTAGAAATATGAATAATACTAAGTTTACAACTAAATGCGACATAAAAAAATACAGAAATACTGTATTAGAGTTTTACTCACTGTTGGGTTATGGTAAGTTTTGAAATCTCCCACAGGGAATTCCCATGTGTAATCAACATGCATTATGGGAGATATGGTTTATGGTCAATGCTGGCTTTAAAGCAGCTTATTTTGAGATATTAATACAGGGGTATTCAAATTACACTAAAGCCAACAGCTCAGATGCAGGACAAGTATCCTTCACCTTTTAAATGGTTTGTTTTGTTGCAATGAATCCTGAATTTATAGTTTAGAATTGATGAAGCAGTAGTTTGTTTAGGTGGGGGCTCACTGGTGGTCTGGATGAAAGCAAACCTTGAGTTTAACACATGTGCCTTAAAGGAAAGCCAGTTTATTAAATTTTAAAGTGACAATAAACGCAGTGTTCCTGTTAATAAAAAACTTAACGTGCAGCTATGAGTCAAGTCTCAGTTGCAGGTCAATTAAAAATGTTTTATCAATGACACCCAGTGGCAGCCATATGTAGAAACAACATAACTCCAGGCGTTGGAGGAAGGTCCAGTAATTAGCAGAATGATCCAGTCCAGAGTCCATCAGCACTTCCTGTTTAAGTCTCAGAAAATAAACAGCTGACACTGTTCAGCTCCTAATCCATCACTGTTATCAGCAGGGCTGACACTTCCTGCAGCTCTGRCTCATCAGGAACAGACCTGTGGGGTGAATCCTTACTTGGCCATGAGTTTCTGAACGTTGTCTGCGTACAGGTTGGGGTCCTTCTTCTCCTCCTCAGACGGGTTGTAAACGGGCAGGAACTGCAGACGCATGAAAAAGGACCAGAGTGTAAGACGACCTTTTGGTTTCAATGTTTTTCCACACACCTGTTACCGTAGCTGACACAAACACGCCCCGAGTACAAATGTTTGGGACTGTGCCACGAGTAAAACAAACCAAACACAAGTGACAACAAGTGGTCAGGTCTCACCTCCACAGTCATGTTTGTGTAGAGCTGGGAAGCTGTGTGCCACACGACCTCCATCCTGATAAACAAAAACAATGTTACACAACCAGCAACTAAAACAAAGGTGTTAAAACCACGCACGCACGCACACACACACACACACACACACACACACACACACACACACACACAC